GTTCCCAGAACTGGATATGTCTAACCTTATATGGTCTTGGTGGCCTGTCTGGGCCTCTGGGTTTCTTTGCAAGAAAATTGGCCACTTCCTTGATTATGCTTATCATGATTTTTGTTTGCTTGATCTTTTCCATGTGTTAATGATGCATTATCTTGAAAGGATACTTTCATTTCTGTTTATAGATTAGTTTCCACACAGAAATGGAAGAACTGAGGCAGCAAATGCAAAAGAGAGTCTGTGCTTTCTGGGAGGCACTTCTATATGTGGAGCTTCATTTGAAATGGGTCTAGTTTGTTAACAGGAAATCCACCATTACATGGGCAGGAAATGCTATCAGACAAAGAAACAAGACACATAATGGAAACAGATTCTGATAACATTACAGCTGCTACACATCATGAAAGTTTTCTCACAAGGAGAGAGGAAGAGCCTCACTGACACAGTTATGTCTCTTACTGATATCCCCAATAAACAAAAATTGTGTTGTATTTCAAATAAAACACTTTTTTCGAGAATATGCTGCTGCTGCCTTTACAAACAGAAAACTGAGAAACACTACATCATAATACCAGCAGGCTTTGGACAAACAAAGACTAACAAAGGCTTTGGACTGTGTTGTTTTGTTTTTGTTTGCGTTTTTTTTTTGTTTTGTTTTTTTTACCTGTATTTAATTCCTTTACAACTAAAATCTGGGAATTTAATCATATTATTATTTTGTTGTATGTCAGGGTTGTGCCAGATAGGTGTACGTTTGCATTGCTTGATGTTTGAAGCTGATAAATGGTAGGTCTTAAATCTCTAGATTATCGCATAGTGCCTGTTCTAGATCTAGCCAGAGCTCATCTAAGAGGGTGTGTTTTAACCATTCTGAGATGAACTGTAGCCTGTTGGCCAGGAAGTATTGTTGAAAGTTAGGTGACTTTACCTCAACACCTAGACAGAAAATGAACACACACACTTTTTAATCTTTGCAGCCATCATACTTTACTATCTTTTTCCGCTTCACTTTATAGGAATAGAGGCCCATTAGTTGTTTTTGTCACATAAAATACTGTAAAAACACTCAGTAAAGCAAGAAACAATAACAGCATCATATTTTAAAGTTTTGTATCATGACTTTAGTAAGACTTTCAAAAAAACATCATAAATGAACTGTACATGATAGCACACTGCTTGGTATCATATTTATTAAAGTAATTAGGAGGAACTGTGTGATTGCGCAACAAAAATTTGTCACGCTACTCTTTTCTGATTTCTGATTTTTTTCTGTCTGTGAACATTTAAAAACAAACAAAGACAACAAAATGAAAATGTACAAAACATAGTACTATTGTATTGTGCACATTAAATTGTGCATCTGATGTCAGTGATATACATTTTAATTTAGTTTTTTAGTTTTAAGTTTTAACAGTTTTAATGGCTTTAAAAACATTGACGTGTTTCTACACATAAATCAACAACTGTCAGATTTAATATGATTACCAAAGAGACAAAAATCTCAGTTTAGTGTTTTGTGTTTGCGTTAGACCTGATATAACAAAGACAGTGAAAAAGTGTGACAAAAAATTTCTTGTCAAAGTTTATAGGTCAAGTGTACAGTTAGCTTTGATTTAGAAGCAGCACAGTATGAAAGAGAAGTTTTTCACATACAGAACATTTAATACCAGAGACAGACGCTGACTAACATGCTACAGTTCATCTTTATTATTTTCTAGTTGTGTTAGTGTTGCCATCACACTGCGTAGTTTCTCTTCATTGTCATTGATTTCTGCAGCTGTTGTCTCAAAGTACTTATTCATGTACTC